ATCCAGAGGATTGAGATAAAGGGATTCCATTTGTACTTTTTTTTTCAATTAGGGATGCACCAAATGAATCTACCAAATTCGTCCATTAGAATACGTTTTTGGGCATGAGGTGAGAGGACCACTGAAAGTATTCAAAGAAAAATTGATGAATCAGAGTTCAGAGGCCACAAATTTGTGTCAAATAATAGGCAAAGATTAAATTGAGCAGATGAGTTGGCCGGACAGCGTTTAAAAGTAGCACATCATATGATGAAACAGGAAGCAGACAAGAAAATGACAATTTTGTCATTGAAGATAAAGTCTCAGTGTTACTTCCAATGATAGGTAAACCTTAAAAAGCAAGGTTTTAGTGGGCCTTACCAAATCAAAAGAAGATTGAGTGAGGTGAACTATTTGATAAGAACTCCAGATGGAAAGAAATCTCACAGAGTATTTCATGTGAATATTTTCAAACAGTATGTCGATAGGGAAGGAAAGCAAAAGGAGACTATATTACTGGTTCCAACACAAAGTGAAGAACCAGTTCAGGTGATTCTAAACTGGACATTCCCCAAACTAAATTGGACAATGAGGAAGTTCTCAAAAATTGGGATAAATTTTTAAGTTACCTTCCAGAGGAAAATCAAAATCACCTGAAAGAGTGATTACTATTACATGGGGAGGTATGTGGGAATAAGCTGGGAAGTGCTAATCTAATTATGCGTGATGTAAATCTAGGAAATTCAGTTCCAATTAAGCAACAGTCTTTTCGTCTTAACCCTCTAAAGTTGGCACAGGTTCAAATGGAGATTGAACACATGCTCAACGATAACATACTCAAAGTGAGATGCAGTGACTGGAGCTCACCCAAAGTAATGACACCAAAACCAGATGATACACATTGATTATGTGTGGACAATCACAAAGTCAGTGCTATTACAAAGTCCAATTTATATCCTATTCCATGTTTGGAAGGCTGCTTTGGGAAGGTGGAACAAGCAACTTATATTTCTAAGTTGGATTTACTCGGAGGATACTGGAAGGTACCTTTATCTGAAAAAGCGAAGACAACTTTGGTTTTTGTGACACCGAATGGACTATACCAATTTGAAGTCATGCCATTTGGTATGAGAAATGTGCTAGCCACATTTCAAAGACTCACCAATAATGTTATTTCCAGATTACCCAATTGTGTGGTGCATATTGATGACCTGGTGATTTTCAGCCACATCTGGAAGGAACATTTGCAGCATCTATTGGAATTTTTCATTTGACTCTGGGAGGCAGGGTTGGTGTTAAACCTAGCTAAGAATGAGTTCACCAAAGCCCAAGTCATATTCTTGGGCTATATTATTGGGCATGGACAGATGGCCCCACAGGATATGAAGATAAACATTAATGGGGAGTTTCCCATACCATTGATGAAGTGGGCAGTACTACAATTCCTGGGATTAAGTGATTATTATTGGAAGTTCATAATGAATTTTAGCAATGTGGTAGATCCACTGACTGACTTATTGAAGAAGTGCAGAAAATTTCAGTGGATGGAGAACTGTCAGAAGACATTTGACAGCCTGAAAACTGTGTTAACCACTGACCCAGTGTGAGCTACACACCTAATTACCATTCAAGGTGGCTATCGATGCAAGTGATGTGGGTGACACTGCTGTACTGTTGCAAGAAGACGGCGAGAAGATAGAAAGACCTATTTGGTATATTTCCAGAAAATTGAATGGTCATCAATGGAAATATTCCACCATTGAGAAGGAAACTTTGAGCTTGGTGTTGCTGTTACAACACCCTTAAAGTTTTTGGAGAAATTTAAGGTCAAAAATTCCAGACTGTTTATATGGAACTTATTATTGCACTCATTCAATTTGAAAATTACACGCGTGGCAGGACGAGAAAATGTAATTGCCAACACGTTGCCACGATGTTGATGAAGAAAAATGGCAGAATTCAGTGGTGGGAACATATAGACCGAAATAAACTTTAATAGTGAATGTTTGCTTGCTGAGGATCAATGTTAGGTGTATGTATTGTAGTGTACTAATAGTGTACGACTAAGGGTTTTCTTTAAAAGAAGCCATCTTTGTACATTGATGGGTTTTTTTTGAAGGGGGAGGTGTGACAATGTTATGGCTTTCATCGACGTCGTCCTGGTTTCTTTTAAGAGAGAGATTGAATGAGAGGTACTGAGCAGCTTGTAGTATGTATACAGCTTGGGGTGTTTTTTCAAAGTTGGAACAAAACAAGCTGCCTGGCTGGCCAGCTTCACACACCAGGATTGCTAGCTTGATTCAACTTTCAGATTTGAGAGAAGCTGCTGGAGTTTTGAAGAATTAGAAGCTATTTTTCCCCTCTTTTGGTTGCAGCTCGAAGCTGGGGATTCTCTTCCTACTGCAAGCATTATATGTGAGAAAATCTAATTTCTGAATTTGCCTTTTTGCCAAGGGGTGTGTTTTTGGGATGTTACGATATTGGAACAGTTAATTAGTAATAGTCACTGTATCTATTATTCTGTTACTTTTTCAAATGAAATTAAGTTAATCTACATTTTTCTTGCTTTTGTTGCATTCTAACTATGGTGTTTGAATAAAGTGTGTTTTGCATTACGTCAAGCAGTTTGACTAGTCAAATCACGTGTGGAACACAGCACTTTATATTTGCATTTAAATAAGTAAAAGTTAGGGTCCAGGCTACCTTCTTAAAATATTTTGACGGGTTCTGATCTGATCAATAAAACTTATTACCTCCTGTACGATTTCCTCTGATTATTGCAATGTCTTAAACTTTGTTCTAGTTGTTTACTCGGTTCATCACAAGATTACACAGAATGAGTTGGGCTCTTGTGGGCAGTGGTAGTCTCCCAACAGGCCCAGTTTCACATTTCAGCTGCTCCAGAGGTATCTCAAAGTATCTGAACAATTCGATTTAAAAATAAGTCTGCATCATGAGTGGGCCATGACCATTGGAATAATTCTCTTTTCTGTCCCTCCTGTTCACAATTCATTAGTTATCTGATTAATTGCTTATTGGCAAATAACCAAACTGCTACCATGAAAAGTGTTAAAGATCCAAGTTCTATTAACTTCCTCACTAGCTCCTTATATTTCTTTATTGCTTGTTTTCTGTTTAATTTATAAACTTTTTTTTTCTATTGTAAGTGCTATTTTGCTGTGATACACTTGATACGCTGTTATCAAATATATTTCCAGGTAACTATCTTCATTATTACTCTTCATTTGACCTGTCTACTCACACATACTATTTCAAGAAAATCAAAGACAAACTGGATCTGGCTGATGTGTGGCCCTGAGTCAATCTATTCCTAACAAAACCTCTTCCTGTTTGATGGTATATCCTGGGAGTAGGTGACAGTGGGTTCTCGGCCGACTGTGTGAATCCTGAGACTGACATATGCACACTTCTCCTCCTCATCCTCCAACAGTGAACCAGCCTCGGAGCAAAACTCAGCCTGGAACTTCTGACAGTTTTTTTGGTGAATTTCATCAAGACCAGCTCAGGGTGTGCTCCACCAGAGGAGAATATCAACTTGGTGTTAGTAAAACCCAAATCCTTAATTCAGCCTAATCTCCCATTTTCTGATGACCTAGATATGTGGCCCAGTCTGCATCTTTCTAGCTCTGCTTTTTAAATAAAAGAACATATTAATCAGGTTTTGACATTGCAATTTTCATCAGTCATTTTTATGACCCTACATTTAAAAAGTTATAAATTTAATGTGTTGACAATTTTGATCACTGAGCAAGTTGTTCATGTTTTCTTCATAAATTAATATGGTTTCAACTTAATATTTAACTTTGTGCCAAACTTGATCTCAAGCATCTGCCTCTGGGTTTCTTGCTGTGAGGGAATGAGACTCACCAAAAGTCTGATTGCTTATGGGATGGTGGCGAAAACATTATTTTCCTCCAGTAGATTTGAGAATTGTTGATAATGCTAAACATGTCTGACAAAATCTATCCACACAGAAACAAGGGCCAGTGAGCTTTCTTCAGAACTAGTGCAGATCTTGAACCTAAAACATTAACTCTGTTTCTCTCTCCACAGATGCTGCCTGACCTGCTCTGAATTTCCAGCATTTTCTGTTTACATTTCAGCTTCCCATCTGCAATGCTTTCCTATCTTGTTATATGCTCCAGTGACATTTGTAATTTGGGGTACTTGCAAGATTCCAGTCTTTCAAATTTTACTGGTTAAATATTGCATAGGACCAGGTTCAATGAAACAGAAGTGCTTATATAATATGAACACTCAAGTTGTGTGTCATTGTCTGTCATAGCAGTGGTTATAAGGCGGTGAAACCTGCGATTTCAATAAATAGAGAAGTGGTATACAAACGTGGTTAGTTTAAATTAATAGCAAGAAAATCTTTACCACTCAATGCAGAGTGTAATTTTTCCGTCAATAAGCTCTCATCTGTCAATAGGAATAGCTCATTATTGCCAGGGAATTGGGTGATGCTAATTGTTTTGGAAGGTTTTACAATTATTAAATTTGAAATTGAAACCAGCATTCGTGGTCCAAGAGAACAGGTTGCTGTTACTTCAAGATATTCTCATTTTCACATGGGATTGTTGTTTGGGGTATATGTGAAAATCAAGTCTTTCAGATGTTGCTGTCCAACGATTGGATAGGGCAAAGTTTGAAGAGGGATCGGTGCTTCCATAATATGAACAACCAAGGTGTGTGTCATTGTCTGACAAAGCAGTGGTTGTCAGCTGGGTCATACTGAAAGTTGACATTTCAATGGGCTTTGTCCATAGAGGAATGAGCACAAAATATAAGATGTTTTGTTAAACCTGAAGAAAATATTTCGACCCCATTGTGTCTGAGGTGGGGTAAATGTTGGTAGTAGAGTGGTGATGGAAGTATGAACGCCTACTATGTTTCTCCGAGCCCTGGAGCTGAAATGTCAGTGTTGGGGAATGAATGAGGTATTGTGATGAAAAGATGAAAGTATAACCAACATGGAAATTCGACAAGCCACACCTTACCAGATGTCTGGTTTGTCCTCTTCATTATTGTACTCAAAATTTCCTTTGCTGTGCTTGCATGTCTGTTCACCAGGTTTGTGACAGAATCCCAGAATTTCGCATTGAAGGATTCTACCATGAACTGCTGGCCAGGGATGCACTGACCGGTTTTACTGTCACCAGAACTTATTTTAATTCCATTGACCATTGCCATGTGCATAACCTCAGGAAAGTCTTGAATTCCAGAAACAGCTGTGTAAATCCCAGTGTGCACATTAGTCTCTGTAAAGCAAACATTGAAAGTAGCTGGTAACTGAACCCCAGCATAATAAACATTACATTAATGCACTTGGGCTCCACTGACTGTGACAACATCATAAATCCCAAGGGCGTCACTAATGTGAGAGACTAACTTTAAACATGTTATATCTATAAATCAAATATTAGGGACAGGCTAATAAACATTTACACACACTTCCAGCTCATCCTTATGAGGCTCCACCCATATGGTGCCAATCTGCAATAATCCACCACTTTATCACACTGTCAGATTCCTGTCTGATATTATGAACAGAATCAGATTGAACTGGGTCAGAATTAGATACTGCAGCCTCTCAGAACAGGGAGTAAACACAGAATCAGAGTCACAGAGACACTCAATGGAATCAGTGTGGACACAGGGGAGAGGCTGAGCCACAATCCAGGGACTGGAGTAGTAAATAGAAGATCGCCAACCTGAAACAGTAACTGGGTCACACCGATGCTATCACTAACCTGGAATAGAAACCTGGAATAAATTGAAGAGAAATATTAAATGGACACTGCTAACCAGGGATTATCTGGAGTGAGGAATTCAGGATAACCTGAGGGCAGGTCTGTGCTTTCTGGTCATAACCAAGAAAGATGTGGAGTGAGTGAATCCAAATTGAAATGAAAAGAAACAGGAATATTTGGGAGAATAAAGTGTGAGACCATGGGGGAGAGTCACTGTGTGAACAGTCTGTCTGTCAAACAGGGGGATGGACAATCCAGAGCAGGATCCTCATTGTCCTTCACTGAGCTTTTTAATCACCCCTTTATACATGGTCATTAGGACGTTGGTTTCTGAGATAAGCCGGACTATTCAACCATAACGGCGTCACAACTGAATTGGGGGTGTTTTAAACATGGAGTATCCTTCTCCTCCCCGCAGTATTTACTGACTTTAGACCAGGACAGGTGAAGCTGTTTGGTTTCTCCCAATCGATGTGAAAATTAAAATTGTCCATTTGAACCATTTCCCATTTGCTCCGAGCTTCTCTGACCTTGGAGATTCTACATCCTGCTGTCAGGAGACCTGGATACAAATTCCATCAGAGTCTCCCAGACTGTGCTGCCTTCAATGTGTAAAATATCAGGCTGGCTGGATAACAGGCGGCTGGTCAAACATCCCCCATTTCAAACTCTCACCAAGAAATTCACGGTCACGCCAGAGAAAGAGAGAGACAAAGAGAGAGAGAAGGGAAAGCTAAATTCTGTACTTACTGGGAGAGACCCAGGAAAAACACAGGTCAGTGGAGAAAAGAGTCAACAGCATTCTGGGAATGCACTGTCCCTATTCAGGGACTGGTGTACTCTGAGCTACTGTTTCTAAACTGGAAAAGGCAAAAACATGCCTCTGGAGAGTTGATTTTCCATAAACTCAAATGAAATGTTTATGAGTGGAAACTGAAAGGAAAAAGATGTTTATTAGGACTTTGCCTCATTGAGCTTTGATCACTCCTGACTGGAGTCAAAGGCTGAATGATTGGCTTCACCTTACAAAAAGAACCAATCAAGTGAAAAACATTCGTTTGCCAGTTATCAGGAGAAACAAGTTCAGGAGTTCATTATCCGACTGCGATCATTTGATAATCTGAGCAAGGAACATGGGCAGGTCAACTGCAGAGACGTCGATTTAGAGGGTTCAGTTATTTCACTGATACCTCATCAAGTCAGGAACAACTGTGTGAATACAACTCCACATTACACCCTAATACTCCTGTTCATGTCACACTCCTCCCCACACTCTCTTGTCAGTGTGTCCCCCTCTTCTCACTCTCCTATTAGTCTGACTCTGTCCCCTCACTCTCCTGTTAATGTGTGAAATAATTACACGGGGGATGGTATTTTGTCACTTAGTCACCCATTGTGTGCATTAGCTCAGTACACAGCCAGCCAGCTCGAAGTCAGTCCCTGAAGCAAGGAGACTCTGAATCCCCTATATATATTTGTCAGCCAGGACTCCCTGATTGGCCCAGGTTAACAACCCCAATCGAGAATCTCATAGTCTATGGATCCACCTGGTTCCAATTACTATATCACCCCAACCCACCTCCCCACCATTCTCCCCCCCACCTCCTCCAAGTGCAGGGATGTAGGCCTGGTCTTTCTCTGGTATGCCTGGTATGCTTTTGTCCCAGGTCTGGTTCCTCTGAGTTGGATTCTGACACAGGCAGCATGTACTGTACCGTAGCCCACATTTTGCATCCAGAGCGTCTGTGGAGAGTTTTCTCTTCTTCTTCCAGTGGTAATGGTATCGAGGTTACATCCATCTCAGACTCTGACGTTTCCTTCACACTAGATGTATGGGGAGAACCCACTGTTTCTGACAGGCCTTCTGGCTGTTCTGAGGAGCCAGATGTGTTTTGCTCCTGCCCCGTTTGCAAGGTAACAGCTTTCAAGTGATTCACATTTTTGTTCAGGACCACCTCGCCTACCCAGACTTAGTATGTCATGGAACCTGTCCTTGTGTCGACCTCTTCTTTTATCTATGCAGGGCCATTTCCATGGGTTCGGGCCAAACTTCGACCCCCGGAAATAAACTGTCTCTCTTGCTTAGAGGAAGCATGGTATGTTTGCTGTCATTTCACCTTAACCTAGGTCCAGGAATATCAGGATTAACCTGGTGCAGCGTCCTCTCCCCATCAGCAACTTGGCTGGAGCTATCCCTGCAGTTTTATGAGGATCCTATAGTTGAAAAGGAATTGGGACAGTGTGGAATCAATTGACGCCGTAGACTTTGGACTGTACTTTCTGCCAGACCATTGGATGATGGATGGTATGGAGCTGTCCTTATATGCCAAATGCCAGTTGACTTTAGGAAATACTCAAATTCCCTGCTAGTAAATGACTTCCCTTTGTCCACGACCAATACTTCTGGGAGTCCGTATATCGCAAATGATGCTCGCAACTTTTCAAGCATCATCCCTGAATTTGCCAAAAGAGCTCCATGTGTGCCCAACCACTTTGAATGGGCATTCCCAATGACCAGGAATATCGAGCCCATGAAAGTACCGGCACAGTTGACTGTAGCCAAGTCTAGGGTTTACCCAGCAATTCCCAGGAATGTGGCAGCACCAGCAGCGGCAATTCATGTCCTTGTTGGTGTTCTAGGCACTGCCTCACCAATGTAGCTATGTCGCGGTCACCAGGCAGAACCTCTTTTGGAAGGAGGATAAGCAGCTGAGGCATCTCCCCAAAGCCTCTCACAGTCAGAACACATTGGATATAGTTGGGAAGGTGCGCTGGTCTCTCTGGAAGCTTGGAGACAATGATATGGCTCTGCTGCTAAATCCCACACTGTCCCTCATCCTCAATTGTGTGTTCTCTGATGAGCCAACAGCGAGGAGGACTGAGTGAAGGCTTTAGTGTAAAGCTCTCTCCCCGGCGGGGGTGCACTGATGCATCATGAGGGATGAGGAGAGGACAAACGCCTTCTCGAAGACTGGGTGACAGTTTTGTTCCGTACCTCACACCATTACAGCTTCACCCCCGGGTGAATGTGCTGGTGCACCAAAGAGTTCAATGACTGGGTGAAAGTCTTGCTGTGCATATTGTTCTTGAAGGGTCTTTCCCCAAAGTGAGTGAGCTTATGTACCTGGAATCACAGAATCACACAACGGTTGTAACTTGGAAGGAGACCATTTGGCCTAGAGCCACCATTCTGGCCCTCTGTGAATGTAACTCTGCTGGTTTTATTTCTCCAGCTTCTTCACTAGAACCCAGCAAATCTTTCCTTTTCAGGTAATTGTCCAAAACCCTTTTGGAAAGTGCAATCAAATCTACCTGTATTACACTCCTAAGTCCTGTATCCCAAATCTTAATAATTCCCACTGTAATTAAGCAACTCAATCAGGATTCAGTAACAGAATAGCCTCCTACTGTTCCTAATCTTCCAGTTCTTCAAACAGATTATAAAACGAAAAGTTTTAGAGAGGGTAGACAGGGAGATAGAGGTGAAGTAATTATCTGATGACCTTATCAAATGGCGAAGCTAGCCTCGAGGGTCCGAATGGCCTACTCCTGTTCCTGAATCTTGTATTCTTTTTATGTGACCCCCAGTTCTTTTGCCACTAACCTTAAGCCATTCCCTGATAAGTTTTGTTCATTGCACCCATGGGACCACTTTCTCATTGTATGTCCAACAGTCTAATGAGCACAGCACCTCCTATCAAACTTTCTCTCAATGTTCCCTTCTCCAAGGAGAGTAGTTCCAGTTCATAATCCTCCAACCCAGTTCAGTCCACTTCTACCTTCTTACAAAAATCCACAAACAGGACCGTCTGCACAGTTCCATTGTTTCTGCCTGATCGAACCCTCGCACTTATTCCTTCCTACCTTGGCTCGATTTTTTGCCCCCAAGTCCAACCCCTTTCTTGTACGCTTCATGTCAGTTTTAAAATTTCCAGTTTGCAGGCTCCAGCCACCTCCTCTTCACCATGGATGTGCAATCCCTTCACACATCCATCCCCTTCATCAGGACAGTCTCAGGGTCCTCTGCTTCCTCCAGGAAAAAAGGCCTGAACCGTCCCCATCCAATACCACTCTCCTCCGCCTGGCTCATCCTCACTTAGAACAACTTCTCCTTTAACTCTTCACACTTTCTTCAGGTCAAAGCTGTGGCCATGGCTATTCGCATGGGCCCCAGTTAATCCTGTCTTTTTGTGGGGTTTGTGGAACATTTCTTGGTCCAGTCCTACTTGCGTCCCTCCTCACAACTCTTTCTCCATGACATCAATTACATCATCAGTGCTGCTTCCCTCTCTCTTCCGGAATTCGAAGCTTTCATCAATTTTGCTTCCAGTTGCCTCCCCGCCCTCACTTTCACATGGTCCATCTCTGGCTCCTCCCTTCTTTTCCTTGACAGCTCTGTTTCCATTTCTGGGAATAGACTGGCCACCAACACACTGACTCCCACAGTTACCTCAGCTGTATATCTTCACACCGTGTTTTCTGTCGGGACTCCTTTCCAATCTGCCAGTTTCCCTATCTCCATGATATCTGTCCTGATGATGCCACCTAGCACAGGGGGTCTTCAGATATGTCCACCTTTTGCATCAACCAATGATTCTCCGCTACCTGGTTTGACCCATCTCTTGCACTTCTGTCCTCGCCCCTTACTTGCCCTACCACAACAGAGATAGGGTCCCCCTGTTTCTCACCTCGCACTCTACCAGCCTCCATATATCCAAAGGATCATTAGCTGCCATTTCTGTCACCTCCAGTGGGATGCTACAACCAGACACATATTCCCCTCCCCTCCCTGTCAGCATTCCGCAAGGACCAATCCCTCTGGTACACTCTGGTCCACTCCTTCGCCATTCCTTCTCACACTCCCACAGCACCTTCTAATGCAATCACTGAACACTTTGTATTTACCTTCTCCAAGGTCCCAGACACACCTTCCAGGTGAAGCAATACCTGCACTTCACTCAATCTAGTCTCGTGTTTAATGTTTTAACGAAAATCTGTAGCTCAGGCTGTGGTTGGAGTTACTGGTTGGTTCGTCGAGCTGACTGTTTTTTTTTGCAAATGTTTCATCTCCTTCCTAGGTGACATTGTCAGTGCTATGTAGCCTCTGTTGAAAGGCTGTTGTTCTGTCCCGCTCTGAATTTTTACAGTCCGGTCTGCGAGAAACACTACATAGGACAGATGGGCAGGAAACTCGCCACCAGGCTACATGAACACCAACTCGCAGCAAAACGGCATGACCAATTCTCCCTCAAATCAATACACTCTGACATAGTGGGCATCAATTTGACTGGGACAAAGTTACAGTACTAGGAGAAGCAAGACAAAGACAAGCATGAGAATTCCTGGAGGCCTGGTTTTCGACCACGGAAGCAATTTCTTACACACAGATACACACGTATCAACATGTCTTCAGAAAATGGGCTTCGCAGTGGGATTATAACAGTTGCCGTTTCGGGTCAGGACCCTTCTTCAGAAAACTAAGGGTCCCGACCCGAAACATCAATTTCCCTACTCCTCTGATGCTGCCTGACCTGCTGTGTTCCTCCAGCTCCACACTGTGTTCTCTCTGACTCCAGCATCGACAGTTATTACTATCTCTGAGTATCAACATGTCTTGTTCCCTGCCTGCTTTTTCTTTGTCTGATCAGCCCAGACCAGTTCTAATATTGATGATTAAATGCACTACATACACTCACATCCTCACTGACTGACTATCGATGAAATGGAAGAGATCTTCAGAATCTCCATGTAGTGGAAAGATGGAGGAGAGTGTGGGAATGAGGATTTCTGACACAATGGCCATTCCTTCGCATTTGTTATGTTCTCACTCTCTGACAAGGGATTATTCCACATTCTAATGGACACTTATTTTGTTTCTACACATTCACCAAGTGAGACCTACACAACAGCTTGCAGTAG